GTGTCCCTGCTGATGTCAGGGGGGTTGGAACTGGATGATCTTTAAGGTCCCTTCCAACCCAAACCAGTCTGTGATTCTGTGATTCTACTTCCATGCATATTTGATTTTTAACGATACATTGAATATTCAGCCCTGAGGAGCTAAAGTATAAAATACAGTGCAGGGCAGACCTGACAGGAGGAGGAGGAGGAGGAGGCAGCTGCAGCGGTGGGGACATGCCCTGTGCCTGCCCTGGGGTGTTGTGGGGCCCTGGGTGTTTTGGGGTTTCACTGCTGACTGAACGCCTCCCTCCATGCCCGCAGGTGTTGCCAGCGTTGTCGTCTCCTTCTTCCTTTCCATGTACTACAACGTGATAAATGCCTGGGCCTTCTGGTACCTCTTCCACTCCTTCCAGGTGTGTGGGCACCCGGTGACATGGCTCAGCCCAGCTGTGGTCATGGAGGGTTGTGGTAGCTTTTGCATTAGTGCTGGACATATTGCCCAGCACTGTCCTCAGACGGGGGGACCAAAAGCCCCAGAAACCCTCCCAGGGCTTTTCTGGGGGGAAAAATGAACCAGTAGTGTCCCTCTCCATGGGCTCCCCAAGGGTATTGGAGTATCTTCTCCTCTCCCTGAAACACAGGTCAAGGCCAGCCATGTGATGCTTTGCTTGAATGTGCTTTGGTGGCCACAGTGTCCTATACCCTGGGGTGGGTCTGTCCTAAGGCAGAGGAGAGAGTTGGCCCTGGGGGAGAAGATTGAGGGGGGCCATCCCCAGGGGACAGGGTCAGAGCAGCTCAGTCCTGGGAGAGCGGGTTATTCCCAAGGGTGAGGGTCAGAAAAGCTCAGTCCCTGGGGGGGTGGTCATCCCCAGGGAGAGGAGAAAAGCATCAGTCCTCAGGGAAAGGGTCATCCCATGGGAGATGGTCAGGATCCAGGGAGAGGGTCAGCCCCAGCCCAAGGCAGCTCTATGCAGGGACAAGCCAGCCCTGGACTTAAAGCCACCCTTGCCTTCATCCCGCCCAGCTCTCCCCACCATGCTGATAGCGGGCACTCACCCTGTGCCTCTCCCCTCCTCACAGGACCCCCTGCCATGGGCCACCTGCCCCCTGAACGTCAACCGCACCGGCTACGAGGAGGAGTGTGAGAAGACGTCGTCCACCCAGTACTTCTGGTACCGGCAGACCCTGAACATCTCTCGGTCGCTGGAGGCCA